TACAGGCTTTAAAGCCAACTATAACATTTATTTTCTACTTTTGATATTTACAATTTCACAGTTATTCTTATGATCGATTTTCACTTATGATACATTTTCAAGATTTAGAAGCACTAAATGTAATAATTTTAGATTCAACAATTGTTGAATAATCAGAATATTGGGAATAACATGACCACTCACCGTCCATAGCTGTTATGGCCCTATCAGGCTGCAAGTTGATTGACATCCTGCTGTTTTGAATTGGACTTATTCACTGGAAGATTTCTTTTTTCTCTCTCTCTCTCTCTGACACACCAGCATAGGGTTTCATTTAGACATGTTTGAAATGACACTGCAGCGTTCATGATTGGGAGGAGAGAATATGGTTCCCACTTACCCATAAGTAAATTGACATGATCAGATTACGTGCTCCTGATCAGAGCCACATGCCGAGGTGCATTGATTGAGTCTGCGGATGCCTTCCTGTTCATCTTCTCATGCACCGTTTGTGAAGTCTGCTCGACTGAGGTGAAACATCCTCTCTCACACACACACACACACACACATTGCCTTGCAAACAAACTCGCTCACATATGGTTTCAGTAAGGCTGTTATCTGAGCCACAAAAGAGTGTAGATTCCCACTGTCACCAAGGTACTCCTCTGATGAGCTGTAAATGCTGACATGTTGTAAACTATTGGATCTGATTTCAGACAGTCTTTCGGATGTAGTTTGTTTAGTAAATTACACACTTGAATGCTTTTACATTTTTCTTTGATAAATACGTATAAAGCAGCAATAGTTTTTGTCATGATGTAATGGCTTGTAATCATATGGTGAACACTGCAGTGAAATCAGCACATGGAATGAGGGGGAACAAAAAACTATCATTTTATAATGCAGTTTGAGGTGAAAATACTTATAAGGCACAATGTCTGGTAATAGTCAGGAAGTTTCATATAATGTTTCTGCTCATTAAAGCAGATTCCGTACAACCCGAAAACTTTGCAGGGGATAAAAAAACTCTGCTGTCACTTTAAAAGCACTCTCTTTCACTGGCGGTTGGGGAAAAGACTGGCAGTTGGCCATTTTCACATAGGCTGGCTTGACCCCACTACTAGCCTGAAAATAGCAGTGAGCAGATACTGTAAAAGCAGAGGCAACCAGAAATGGCTTTTCCACCAATGTCTGATTTCTTCTGAAAACAGTAAATCTTGTGAAGTTTATTTTCTTTGCAGCATCTGTCTTTTATAATGGTTCTTTTAATTTGTTTTCACTTTGTCCACCGGGATTGCTTTTATCCGGCACTTTCTGGCCTCTCCTTTTACTTACTCTCCCCCCCTCACTTCCACTTGTAGTACTCCTCCTTTGAAAGTGTGTATTTTAATAATGATAGCTCTGGGAATTGGCACAGGCAGACTTGACATGACAGCGCCGTCCCCCTGAGTGCGGCGGTACCGCCATTGTTCCTTTTCCTCTCCACTCATCCCTCTTTTTTTCCCTCCTCCCCTCCCGTCCTAATCCCTACCTCCTGTGAACTACGCTCTTACAGGAGCATGTCTGGGAAACCTGGACGAGCGCGAAAGACATGAATGGGTGAAACAGAATATATCAAAGTATTCCCAAACTGAGAGAGTATGACTTTTTTTCTAGGAATTCAGATCTTCTGCAGATGCTCCTTAAAGCCCAGCGATTTCTCAATGGCTGACAGGAACGTCATGCGCTTTATTCTGTCCCTAGGATTGTTATTCACGTTAGCTTCCGTCACGGTTGTGTTTTTTAAATTCACTTCAGTTTTGATGGGATTAAAATGGAAGGATGTTTGCGTAAGAATGTTGTGTACTGAGTACACAAGCGAACTGAAATTGAGTACGAAGTTTGAGACATCGTCATGTCTCTCAGTTTTCCTCCGGCCTGAAAACAGCCGGCCAATCAACAACCAGAGGGCGGGCTGAGAGCCGTGACGTAGATGCTAAGCGCCGAGTTTAAGATTGTACTTTAGGTTAGCGAAATTGAAAACGACCTCGGATATGGAGACGCGGGATGCAATTCGATCTGATGTGGAGAATATTCCTGGCATTTGCAAAGTGAAGCCTGAACAAGAAGAGTCTTTGTTAAAGATTTTTAATGGAGGTGATGTTGTGGCCCTACTCCCGACAGGTTTTGGGAAAAGTTTAATTTATCAACTATTACCGATCGTCAGCGAGAAACTGGGAGGCCAAAGGCCGGCAAGGCGATGCACTCATGGAGGATCAGGTTAAGGAGGCAGCAAAACTCGGTCAGCCATGTTCACTCTGGTATTTCGCTCGATGGTTTTGTTTTCACATCATACTTGTGTTTACACTGGAAGTTCGATGCGGCTGAACTGGCGAATAACACACGAATAACCAGATGGCTTACGGGTAACCAATGATTTTATGCCCACAAGCGCCCCCCGCAAGAAAGAAAACACTTTAGAATTATGCCACGCCCAGACTCTGTCTACGAAGCAAAGTGAAGTAGCAGAGTTTGGTATTAGCAGGCTAGTTGTTTTTAGCTATTTGTGTGCAAATCAAGCAAATAACGAATGGAAAAGTGCCAGTTTAGATGGATCGCTTGTGTTCATTGCTTTATCAGATGCAAATAGAACAGCTTGGGGGAGAAAACAAGATATCAGTGACAGGGCGGCCAGGTCTGTGCCATTAGAAGAAAATGCAAATGGAGCGGAGTGAGCTTAAACAGAAGGGTCAGGTGACAGAGGGTGACCCGGCTTACCTCTTGGAGTTTGGATTTGCATCGATAGATCTTCTTTCCATTGGCTCGTCATGTATCACTGCGCAGGCCATCACACATGAGTCATTAATCAAATGACAACTCCATAAGCAGTATCGTTTTGACTGGCCAGGCGCCTTGCCGCCCTCGGATGTGCCATTCTTGAGGGTTCCGGCCAAACCTGCCACACTCTGGTTCGCGTCATTTGGTGGCTGAGTTTCACATCATCCCATGCGAGGCGTCTGCTTTTTTTGAAGGCTTAAGCTTTGCCGCCGTGACGCTGTTTGCGTGCGTGTCCACGAGCGAGTTGGGTTTTGATTTAGTGGGGGTTAAAAAGTTTGCAGAGACTGAGTGTGTCCTTCATGGAAAGATGCTAAATTCATTAAGAATTTTCTTCCTCTACTCCTCGTCTTTGTCCACCAGAAGCACCATTATGGGTTTTCAGGCTGCTTCCTGTTCAAATTCCTTTTCTTTTCTGCTGCTCTTGCACACAAAAGGTGGCTGCGCTTGGGGTGTAGTGGTTTTGAAATGTGAAGGGCCCTTGAGATCGGGGCCCTGTGTGGAATGGCGCAGGGGTTTGTGTAATGTCTCCAGCCAAAGCAGGCCTTTATCGAGGGCCATGAGGCCTAAATGGTCTCTCTTTGGTTAAGCACAAAGACAACGTTTCTGGGTATTAGAGAGACACAGACAGGCTGGCTAATGATCTAAAACCCCTCCAACACTGTGGCACGGCCGCTCTCAGCGCTTTTGCCCTCAGATAATCATTGTTTTGTGTCTCAGGTATTTCTCGGAGCCCCTGAATGCCCTCTTCCTGGTGATTACAATGGAAGCAAGGAAAATCTTCGTTGAGATTATTGGACTGGTCCGAAATGTTGAAAGGGAAAATATAATGGAGTTAAAAAACGACTTTGTGTGAAATATTTGTGCAGCGTACATATGCATTAAATAGGTTTGTTTTTGTGGCGCGGAAGTGTGGATCAAATCGATGCCTGTATCATTTGGATTGAAAAGACAAACAAAACACAAAACTGATGAAAGTTGAATAGTTAGGGGAGAGCTATAGAAACCTTTTATCTGTTGTGTTTGTTTCTCTGAGAACACATGCTCTATTGTGAATTAATTGTATATTTTAGCACAACTGGAATGCTGCTTTCACCATTCAGCTTATTTTATTGTTAATTGTTATCACCTTATTTTTAACGCAAGAGTGGGTGCTGCCATTTGTAACTTGAATGTATCTGGCTTCCCGCGTCATCCTCTTCCAGTTATTTTTAGCTGTACAAAACAGCTTTTACTACTTGATATTTCGAACTGGTTTGTTTTCTTAGCATAATATTTTAAGGTATTGTTGTAATTCTAATCAAACTGGTTTGTATAAATAGTTTTAACGTTTACTGCACTTTGCTATTCTCTTAGTTATTTACTTATAGCAAATGAATTGTAAGTCTCACACATTCACAAAAAAAAGCTTAATTTCACATTGCACAATAAGGTCGATATAACATATCAGTTAGGACTTAAGGGGATACTCCACCGTTTTTTTTATATTAAACTGTTATTCCCTTAACTAAGACGAGTTGACACATACCTCTCTCTTGTCTCAGTGCGCACACTCAATCGCCCTGGCGCGCGAGACACTTTGATCGCACTTAACTTCATTCATTAGGAATCGAAGCAGAGAGGCGACCAAAACACCTCCACGTTTTCCCTATTTAAATACAGTTACACGAGTAGTGTAACTCGACCAAGAATGATGACACAAAATAAAACCTTGCGCTTTTCTAAGCGTGTAAAGTGGATAACTATAATGTATGGCGGAATACAACAGCAAGTGCTCAAGTCGTAGTGCTCCCAAGCACTTGCTGTGGTATTCCGCCATACATTATACAGTTATATTTAACATAGGCTGCTGATTTAACGTTTGGGAAAGTCACTAATGCTCACCAAGGTCTCATTTATTTGATAAAATATACAGTTAGAAGGGTAATATTATGAAATATTATTACAGTTTAAATAACTTCTAAGTTCTAATGTTCTGTATATTGATAAAGCTGAATTTTCAGCAGCCATTACTCAGTCTTCAGTCACATGATCCTTCAGAAATAATTTTTGTATGCATGAGTATAAATGTTTTTACTGGATCTTTTGATTTGATTTAATGCATTAAATGATGAATAAAACTACTTATTCATTTTAAATAAATCTTAGTGTATTATGTATGTGACCTAAATAATTGTATAGCTTAAATTTTTCCTTTTCTTTCACAGCCAAACTCACCAGTCAAGAATCCTATAATAACTTCACCAACAACAACATGGGTAACCCACGCCTGTCTGCATTACCCAGTTTGACGGTCGTGCTACCACTGGCTCAGATCAAGCAACCGATGACCTTGGGCACCATCACCAAGCGCACTGGGTGGGTTTCTGAACACTATTTAGCACTTAAAAGTGTTCGGTATAGACATTTGAATGTTATATTGCTAAGGAAATTACAAATTATTATGACTAATTATAGAGTTATAATTGAATTCTGACTGAATTATTATGTTGCCATTTTAAGGCACAAGGTACTTAATACAGGTAATATCTCAAACACCATTGATTTGTTTCATCTATTAGACCGGTTAAAAATGTCAACTTTACACGGTTAGCTTTCGTTGCAGACCAGGCTACATTGTCAATTTCAAGCAGGTTAACGGAATATAATTGTTGTAAGTCACTGGAGATGTAAAGATCATTGATGAGCGATAGCATTTCTGAGAACTGTGTTGGGGATTTGAAACGTAGTTGAGTATGCATGAACTCTAAAGTGTCATTAAACCGTCATTTGCCAGAGGATCGCCTGCATTTACACAAACATGCAAACCTGTATTCTCCCACATATGGGACTTTGCTGTAGTCGGTCGTTAGTTCCTAAGCCAGATGCATTACAATCATTGGACGGAGCATGTGGTTGCTCTCCATGTAACATGAACACGCTGGTAAAGACTGGTTGCCATATCAATGACTGCAGTGTGCATTTACATACTGACTAAACATAATTATGGCTTATTCCACTTGTTTATTTTTATTTAAATGCAAAGTTTGAATGGGAAATTCGCTAACGAAACAGTGGCACGTCGGGTCAACTTTAAATAGGCAGATTTATACAAAGCCCTGTAGCTCATTGTCGTCCAGAACACTTTGCGCTGAGATTGTTTTAAGGGCTCTCACTTCTAGTTTTGAATTGAAGAGTCATCAAGAGTGCATTAGTTTGAAGATTGAATAATTTAGCCTTGCGTAGGGTTTAGTTTCTGGCTTATATGAGCTTAGTCTCCATTTAAACAAGCTTTTCTACAGACGTGCTGAGTCTGAGGCTGTACATTGTGACAGATTGTCTAGTCCCTTTTCATTTGTCTTTCTCTTCTTAGCTGAGGCTAGCATATGTGGCCACAGACAAGAGACATCCTATGTTGTGCTGAACTGTGTTGTGTGTCTACGTACAGTATATGTCAGTCAGTCAGCTGTACCCACCTGTCTCTGCTCGTATTGTCCTTGCCCATCAACATGCCTTACACTCAGATGTGCAGCACTCAGAGCTGAGGCTGGTGAATAGCAAATGATCTGGCCACCACATGGGAGATTGTCCTCCTTACAGACTCGGTCTGTAATAATGCAACTGGACATTTAACGTTGTGGCTAAAATCAGAGGAAAAGCAGGTTGAAACAGTCTTTGCCACAAATGTCTAACTTCAAGTGAGCGATATTGGATATTTCCGAAGCAGTTCGGAGATAATTTTCTTGATTCCACTTTTATTTTCTTAGCTTGATTAGATTCCTTTTGTTTCGATTCCAAGTCATTTAAAGTACATTTTAGTTCAAATGTCGTTTTTACTCACATATGTAAGAAATTCTCTCTCTGTTAATGCTGAGAATGCTGTCAATTCTGTTTTTATATTATTATTTATATATTTATTATGTATTATAATACTTCAACTTCTATTTCGTTTATCTGGCAACGTAATCTTTCTAATTTTAAATCTTTTAATCTAGTTTTCCATCTAATAGGGGTCTTAAATTCAGTTTAATTGATTTAAGGCCGTTGAGTCTTAAGTCTTAAATATCTTATTTTATATGGAATAAGAAGAAAAGTATTAATCATTTCAAGAGATGTTCAAATTTAGGGACAGAAAAACAGGAATTGCAACATGGCTTAATGTGTTTGATTTTTAAACTTAAAAAGTAAGGATTTAAAATAAATATAACATACTAAACACATGCCGCTGCGCATTCTCCTGGTTCATGCTAAGTTCAGCCAACCCAGAGTATGTTCACGGTTAACACACAATACATTCTCAACAGAGCAATGAATCGAAAAGAAAAAGTGCGCCATTCTACTTTCTTTACCACGCCCATAAATCTATCACGCCCACTGCAGACTCATCAATAGGGCACGCGTGCACTGAACACCTTTGAAGTAACTAACCCTGGAACAGAACCTGCTCTGGAGTAGGTTATGTTCAAAAAGTGTAATTTGGTATGTATGACTACTTGCATTCCCTGAAAGTTGCTTCTGTTTTTGGAAATGAAAGTTGCTTATCTTGATATCTGGAATATCCCCACACAAAACTATAAGCAAACGTGCACATAATCAAATAATCATCAAAATCATTTATAATTTTGACATAATTTTCTTCAAAAATTGTGTAAAGGCTAAAATGTGAGGTTTATCATTTTATAAAACTTTCCTTGTCAACCTGTTTTTGAACAGTACATTTGTTTAAATTGTAGTTTATAAAGTCATTTTATGGTTATATTACCATAAACACTGTCCTACCCCTATCAAACAGCATTGATTTAATCTGTGCAGGTCTTAAAAAAAGTCTTAAAAAGCTTTAAATTTGATTAAATATTAAATAAAAAAATAAAATAAAAAATATTAAGTAAAATATTAAATAAAAAAAACACTGCGGATATAACTTGTTTTATTTCAATAACGAAAAGATTTTGATTCACTGTTTTTCAATCACTTAAAAGTTCCTCGTTCAAACTGAAAAATCACATTCTTGTGTACTTCCGACATACTTTTTTTAAATATTTAGTACTTTAATATAAAGCTTCAGTGCGTTAATGCTTTTTTTTTTTGCTTTGATGATTTTTAATGCCTATGCTGCTATTCAAGTTTGATTTTTCAGTATATACACAAGAAAGAACACAAACCTCATGACTCCCACATAAGCACCATGTTTGACCACAAGCCACTGTTCCAACTACTGACTTTTAGATCTTGTATCCCTGCGTAGTTCAGTAACACATTCACTAATACTTAATTAGCTAAAAACACTCATCTTGTAAGCATGAGAAGTGTCTGGGTGACACAGCAATGTGAGTTTTGAGCTGTCTTAATGTACATTGCCATTCCAGAAGCTGTGTCACTGTGTGACCTTCTTTTTCTGAGAACCACTTCAGCTGTTCTCCTGATTTTAGCTGTCAAATCAGCCAGTGCAGTGAGGTCTGATAACAGCACTGATGACTTCATTGCCCCCTTTCCATGTGTCTGTTAAGTGATGAGTAACCTCCTTTTGTTCTTTACTTCATCCTCCTCCTCCTCCTTTGTCAGCCAGCTCAGTGCCATCCTTAGACCACTTTTACCTGCCTACTAGTATACGACTGTAGTGAGGGTGCTAAATGGACGCTAATCCCACTGATGCTATAGTGGTAGTTGGTCATGACTGACTTGTCACTGCGTTGGTGTCTTATTCTTGTCTTTAAAGACGGACCATAACAGCAAATAGTATAACAGTGTGGGCTTGAGCTTGGTTTAGTCCCAAGCAAATTCCTGATTCGGTTCTATTTAATGTTTACACAGTTTTACCATTTATTTTTGCTATAGGCCTGTCTGACCTAGGCTACTCTAAGGTTACAATAACTTGATTTATTTTCCTACCCTACATATTGTTCAACTGTCATTCATACGAGCTGTAGCTATTCAAGATAGAAAACTATTAACAAAGCCGCAAAAGTATGTGTGCAGGTTACATTAAAATACAGACTTCCAGTGTTGGGAAGGATACTTTTTACTTTTAACGTATTTCGTTACAGAATACATGATGTTATTCATTGTCAAAGTGACGCCAAAATGAATGGGAGTCAATGGGATGCTAACAGTTGGTGAAGTTGTGCTACAATGGCGGCTACCGCGAGGCTTCAACTTCCGGCTGATGGATTAACCCCTTGGTTTTTACCGTAGTTTCGACCCGCGCCGTGTAGTGGTGGGAACGTCGAGCAAACTGCAGCGAATAGCCTCTTTTTTATAATGTTCAGCACCCATTCTGATACCCCAGGATGCTTTGTCCATGCATTTGCATGAATTGCTAGGGGTAGAATGAGATCTGGCCACAACATAGTGGTGACAGGAGAGCTTTAACGTAAAAACTGTGTTTGCAGCGTTTGAGGTGGGGGGCGCGCCAATCGCAGCGGGCAGCTTGGCTGTGCTCGATTCCCTTATGGCAGTTTGCTGAGAGAGAGAGCAAGCGGGGCAAGCCCCGTGGTGCTTAACATGTCTGTGAGTGAATCAAAACACTTCTGCGCTGGCTTTTATAGGTAATAATTTCATTGGAAAGAATGATCAAAAACAGACAATATTTTGTATCAAATATATCACAATATTACCAGTTGTATAAAATCAATATCACATTTGCACTCTTGCTGTATGGAATAAAAACAACACTTGTGATATTGCTCAACTATGTCATACCAAATAGGCTTGTATATGAGACAAAGAGTCGTATGTTGCTGGATGGCTGAATCCAACCTCACAGATTTATTAGGCTTAGTGTAATACGTGAATTGAGCTGCTTTTGGGCCATTGTCTAATAGTGCCATAATGACCGCACGAATAGCTTAAAGAGCTCGGGTGCTACCCAGCCATGTGACCTGTCATGGCGTAAAGCTTTTGCTCAAATCATCTCATTTTAATGCCTTTGGAAGTGCAGCATTAGGATCACAGAGAGCAGAGAGATAAACGTGTGAAAGATTATTCTGTTGAAGTGGGGTTGATGCCCTAAATGCTCACTGGATGTCATCATGCGACGACTTGTTTCCTGTAAACATTTCTCAGGAATAAAAACCCTCATTGCACTCTACGGATTTGGATGAAATGTACTTTTTCACTTGCTTTTTATGTTATTGTTATGGTTTTCTGGCAGGTCTGATCTTATTAGAGTGTGTCATGTGATGGATAGCATGGTGTTGCTGTCGTCCTACTTATTTTTGTCCTGAAATCTTTTATAGGCATTTTATATCTCACAAACACCAAACCGATCATAAATGCTGCTTAACAAACCCAGGTTTAACATGTATCCATCTCCTTGGAAACATATTCATTTAGCATTGGCGTCCATCCATTTTCACAGCTGGATATTTGCTGTGTCCATTCAGCTGAAGTGTCACACTCGACGGTTGTACTGCGCCACTTGAGATGCAACTAAGCAACCTGCCGATTTGATTGTTTAGCTCGGCCCATGATGTTTGAGTATCTTACGCCCTTTGTGCAAATATGATTAATTCATTTTCCAGAATGTCAAACACAATGGTAATTATAAGATAAACTTAGCCTGACCATCACTTAAATCTTTTGCCACGATTTGTTTGATCTAAAAAAATTCTCCATGATAGAAGTTTGCCAATGAGAAAGATTAAATGCCTGTGTAAAACTGTAAAGGTTTTATTTTGCAGACAGTGATTCACCCCTACTGAATAGTAAACTCATCCAAAGGGCCGATGAGTGTGCGACGACGTCTGCCAGAGTTGGATTTCATGTCCTTTTTATTGCTTTTGGGAAACACTTTTGGCTGTAAAATGTTTACGGTCATCCATTGCTCTGGCTGTAGATCAGGGATCCACTTCTCCTTTCTACTAACCCTTCAGCATAAAACAACATCTCTCACAGCATCTTACTTACAATTAAACCACTATTGAACTTCTATTGAACTGTCAAGAAACGGACCTCATGTCTCCCATGTCCCACCTAAATACCACCAGTGGAGTTTTCTTTTGACATTTAATGAAAATTGATATATATTATATATATATATATATATTAAAATCCCCTATTTATGTATCATAAAACCGTAAATTGTTTACCCAGTCAATTAATAATAATGCTTTTCCCATCTATCTCTGTGCATCTGTCCCTTCATGAAGACCCTACCTCTTTGGGGCTGGATGTTTTTCCATTAAAACTCCATGGTGAGTTTTTCCAATTCACTCCCAGCATGCTTTGTTCGCCACTTATAAAGCGACTGCGTTCATTCCATCTTTCGTTTTTTCCAAGATTTTTTTGTTCCTGTTTTCGTTTCTTGAGTTTATTCTAGCACGCTGTGGGAAGAACAGAGAGATGTGCTTTTTATTGTACTTTTTTTCTGTTTCTGTTTGTGGATTTGTTGTTTGGCTTTTGTGTATTTTTTTTATTTGCTAACCTAATTCTTTTTAATTGAAAATGTTGCCTGTTGAATTGTACTGTATGGAAAGGCCACTGTGAAAGGATTTTTGTTGGTCATAAGTATATCTAAGACACCAGCTTGGCATGGTTAGTCAGTGTCATTGAATTCATGGGAAAGAGAGAAGAGTTTTTGTTCTAGAGTTCATGGCAAAATATTGTGTTTTGCTACATTAGACAATATCAGAGCTCTGTTTGTCAGTCCGTCGTGTGGTTTAAACGAACCTACTCTTCAAAGTGATCCTTCCTTTCCTGCTTAATTTTTTTCCCAAACAGACGACAGAGGTTGTTTATTCAAAAATGCTTTTGTGTTCACATTCATATTGCTGTCGTTATGATTTTATTGGCTGGTGACATTTGCAATAAGGTTGAAAAAATGATCGGTGCTCCGCAGTCCGCACACAGCTCTCGGCGATGGTTGAGTCAGATGTGTGCAATGCAGTTCTAGCCATTCATCTTCTTCACCCTTTAATTTGATTTGACAATTTTATTTGGACAATGTATAATCACTGACTTGAGTTTATATGGAGAGAAACACAGCGATTGTTTTATTGTTGAAAAAATAAGTGTTTGCAGGTGTGGATTAATATATATATATATATATATATATATATATACACACATACTGTATATGTGTATATATACTGTATTTATACTGTGTGTATATATATATATATATATATATATATATATATATTTATATATACAGTGCTGGTCAGATGGGTTTTTTCCCCCTTGATAAATATAAAAGATGGCTGTAAAAAATATATATCTGCATTGTTTATCCTTTTGATATAGATATATATTTTTTAATGCAAAAATCTAACCTTTTATTGAAGTAAAATAATTGAAAGTGGGGGTAAAAATAACATTTTGAAATAAATGGTTTTCTCCAAAACACATTGGGAACAATTATTTGCCCCCTTTTATTAAACACCTTTTGCAACCTTCCTTTTTTCAAGATAACAGCTTTGAGTTTTCTCCTATAATGCCTGATGAGTTTGGAGAACACCTGACCAGAGATCAGACTTTGTCTTTTAATATTTTAGTTGCAGCTTCGAAGATTGAATCTCAGCTAAATGGTCCACCCTGCATCTAAAAAATGTAATCACATGTGCTGCTGTCATTCCTCTTGCTTAGGTTTCAGCTTTTGTTGCGGTGTCCCCACATACGTTTTAATTATTAGATCTTTTTCCTGCACTGCTCTACTGTGATCTCTGAGGACATATGTGTTTCAAAGCATCATCATTAACATGATAAATCTTAATATTCCCCATAGCTTCCTCTTGACTGGGCGAAGCACATTAATGTGTGACACAACTGGAGCTCCACATTTCATTGGAAACATATGATTGATTTTAGATGTAGTACTAAATGGTAATTTAGTTTTTCCTTTTAGATAAGTGAAATGTGCTTAATATCACGTGGATGTATTAGAGGAATCATCTAGTATTCCAAAACAGGAACACTCCCACGCAGAAAAAAAAACGATGGAAAATATCTGCTCAAATACAAAATGGCAGAACATAAGATTTCATTATGAATTAAAGTAAATTAAAAGTAATTAAATCAAGAGTAAACTGATACAAGAGTAAAGAATAATGCTATAAAGCGCCGTGGCTGTCCACCTTTTTACCTTGGTCCTGGAACTATTTTTCATTCTCCAAAAATACTGATAGAAATAGAATCTGCAACATTAAAAAAAGAAAGGGAATGGTAGAATATGAACCTGTTTAATTGATGTAGGTTATGTAAGCTTTAACATGTTTTTTTTTTTTGAAGCTCACAGAAATATCCTGTACACCATAGCGCCAAGAACGAAGTACAACCATCACAAACCTCAAAACCTGCCAGCTTGTAAATACCATAGACAGCTGTGCTCACACCTGGGGAACTCATATTTTCCAGCATCTCTCTAAGGAAAAGGGAAATCATGCCGAATCAGGCACCTTCCTCAACAATATCCCAATGAGCTGGAACGTTGGAAATGGAGGGGAAAAATTTCTGTTTCTCTTTTTGCGTTTGATGCCGGCCTCCCAGATGGCTGCCACGGTGTGTGTGGACTGTGGCTGTGTGCCTGAGCCATGTCCGAGGAAAAGCTGCTGTGAGATAATAAATGTGACGTTGAGAGATATGTCTGCATTCTGCACTATCCTTTCATGAGCTTTGTAACACAGGCCCCGCTGCCTGACGTACACCGACCATATGGTCAGCTTGTCACGGCAAGTCCTCCCATACGTTAAAACGAGGCCTGTGCTTCTTCTAGCCGTTTAAAGCACGCCGTCGCATTTGTTTGAAAACAAATGGGGGCCGCCTTCCCCCTGATGGCGCCTCGTCTGTGGCCGGGACTGTAATGTGGCCGGGCTTTGATGGTGGACATCACAGATTGAATTATGCCCTTGAGGAAAAGCTATTAGCTCACGTCAAGAGTCCTCATATGTTAAATTAAAAGTGGAAATGACATGCAAGGAGTCTTTTCAGTGAATTAGTTAGAGAGAGAGGGGAAAAACACTCTAGAAGCAGCAGGGGAAATGCCAATAGGGGGAAGATGAAATTGGCTTCTGTTTAGTAGCGTCTGTCTTCCCTTCTCCTCCATCTCACTAAATATGTTTAAGTTTCATAATTTATTGATTTTCAGATACATTTTTGTGTAAGCTGCTCCCCATGCCAATATTTATTTAGAATAATCCGTTCGCTCAAATGGCCTGCTGAATCACTACAGCTTGAGTCATTTTAGCCACTTTAAGAGGAAAAAAAAATGATTTCATATACAGACGAACCAACTCCAGCGGTCGTTTCAAGGAAATTCAGACGCAACGCGAGTGTGAAGTGCACTCAAATACGAACATGTTGACCAAATCATCCTCTGACCAAAGCCTCTTCAAAAGACCTCTTACCATAGTTGGCGCACCGCTAGCAGATGAGCGCTCAAAGTTATGCCCGGCTTTTAGCTCAGACTGGTTCTTTGCAGTGTTTTTGGTCTCATCATCGTTACTGGCATGACATTATATACCTTTTAAAGAATATTTCCAGATTTATTATGCAAAGCACTCAGAAACGGATACAGTTTCCTCTCAGATTTGTGGCAGACGGCGTCAGCCTGTGATCTCAGAGGAATAAATGTTTAGTCACACCGAAGTCGGTTTGGTGTTGTTATTAAAAACATCTGTGCGCCCATCTTTTACAGTTTTCCTTTCAAGAAACTGCGTCCTGAAAATGGCAGAGCTTTACCTGCATCCTAGACTGGAAAACTGCTTAGCTCGTTCACTTTCCTCGTTGCATTGAACTCAGCGGTGGGACAGGAAGGATTTAAATGCCTCACTCAATGTATTTCTCTACGGTCGGTGATGTTCAGGGCAAAGGAAGTTGCGTTTTGAGGTTATCAAAATGTCTGCTGTCTTCTCTCCTTTTTCATCCCTCTTGGGATTCCTGGTTTTATTCGGCGGGGCGGGGGCTCTTCAAATCCTGTGGCGGCGGAGCGTGTTTGTTTAGTGCTGTGTGTGTCCACTGTTCTACACTGACAGATAGCGAGACGTTCTCGCCTGCTTCGACAGAGGAGATATAACAAACCTCTCCTATCTTCCCATCAGCAGCACGCACTGCTCAGCTTTTTAGTTATTCGGTTTACCTCCGTCCAACACCAATAAACATGTGCCAATATCTCTCCCTGCTTTTCTTTACTTTGTCTTTTTCGTCTGTAGTTCTTCCCGACCAGCAATCCTCGCCTGGTGTCGGCTAAACAAAGATGTCAACATCACTCCTCGTCCTGAGAGTAATTTACGACTTGATGACAGTTTTAAGGGAAGTGACAGAGTGAGAGTGCAGCTCAGCAACAGGTCACTCAACACCTATTAGTGTAATGCAAGGCTGGAGGAGTCCCGGTTCAAACACTGGACAATTCATCCACATTAACTCCCGGTCCAGACTCCACGGTCTACAACAATTTCATTATAATCGGCAGTTTTGTTTTGCAGTTATCTGATCTTTTAGTGCATAATGACTAGGGCTGTCATTCGATTACAGATGGGAATTGAATTAATTGCATAATATGCTGATGAATTAATCATATGTATCAAGGGTTTTCAAACTGAAAGGCAGTGTCTGGGGCCTGCAAAACATTTTAGGGATTAAAAATTAACTTTGCATAGCATTATACAAACAAGTTTGAATTGAAAATATTTATGTTCTGGTTTATACATCGGACATTTTTAGATAATGTGTTCCAAATAATATTTTAATTGTTTGACTTGGCTTTAGTACTATAGAATTATAAAAAAAATATATACTCAAGCATTTGGGGTTGGTTTTAGGGTTTTTTGTGCTCACCAAGGGTGCATTAATTTGATCAAAAAACAGTAGTATTGTGAAATTACAATTTAAAATAACTGTTTTCTATTCGCAAATGCTTTAAAATTTAATTTATTCCTGTGATCGTAAAGCTTAATTTTCAGCATCATTACTCCAGTCTTCAGTGTCACATGATCCTTCAGAAATCTTTCTAACATTCTGATTTGCTGCTTAAGAAACATTTTTATTATTATTACAATATTGAGCATGCTTTGCTGCTTAATATTTTTTTATGAAAACTGTTGTGCATTTTCAGGATTTCAGGAATCTTTGATGAATAGAAAGTTCTAATAGCATTTAGTTGAGAGAGAAATATTTTGTGACATTGTAAATGTTTTCACTTTTTAAAATAAGTGTAAATAAAAAAAAAATAAAAATAAAAAAAACATCTTACTGACCCCAAATTTAATACTGTAAAATGACATTACAGTTGATTATTTCATTTAATTATAAATTATACATTTTTATTTTTGTTTTGTTTTTTTACAATTTTTTACTCACTAAATATAAATGGAATTTTTTACATCATCTAAAAATTTAAAAAGTCCAAAGTCCCCCAAGTGAATATAATTTCGACATTTACATTTTTTGGCAGAAGTAAATATTAAATATGAAAAATTTATTAGAAAGCAGTCGCTGCTTTATATATATATATATATATATATATATATATTATTTATCGTTTTGTGCATTGAGCACTTTGTTTTTAGAATGTCGTGTCAAGTACTTCATCCAATCACAATTTAATGTGTTAAATTGTTAATCTAAATATTATATTTAGCTGGCTCCCAATCCCATCCATTTGTGTGTATTTGAGTGTGTATGGCTGATGGTTCTGTATCTGGAGTGTGGTTTTTGAATAAGATACAGAGGACAGGTTTTACAGTGCAGGAGTCAGACAATGATACCACATGGCTACTGTTCTAGGATGAATTCCATATGCAAGCCCTTATCTCTCAGCCCATGACCCTATTTTCTCCTTGGCTTCTTCAAAATCTTACTAACATAAAGAATTATTCAATAGGCCCTAATCATTTTTCTCAAATGCCAACACTGGAATGAGGCCTTGCAAACCAACTCCTCCTTTAAGCATCTTTATAAGAAAATTACTGCCATTATGTGGTATCTGTACCGACTAGAATCCGGGAGAGTGTTTGTGTGTTGAGCTTTAACAACACCATTATACACACACAACAGAAATATAAAACATCCTCAGATTTGGTGAGGCCATGTTTTTTTCCAGGCCAGGTGAAATTGTACTTTCTAAGTAAGGGTTAATGCCCGACGAGGTGTCCATTGTCAGGTTTTAATGGACGACGGCGAGGCGTAAACCGGCCGACGCGCAGCGGAGGACGGTTGCCTCCGCCGAAGTCCATTAAAACCTGACAATGGACACCTCGGAGGGCATTAACCCTTACATAGAGGACACCTAGTAAAGTAGTTCTGGTGAAACTGCCTGTTTACCATTCGAAATTAATAAATAAATGCGCTGCCCACAACAGCTGTGAGTAACCATAGCAACAGGCAGTCACATGCTCTATCATCTAACGTTAGATATTATAGCCTAGCCTAATACAACAATGAGCGACTTCGTGCTATTTCTTTTAACATTTATGGAGAATTTTTAATTAAACTTAAAAGTGGCTATTTCTTCCAATACAAATGAAGTGAAATTAGAATCCGTAAAAATTATTATTTAAAAGCATTTACAATTTATTTTATTAGCTTTTTATTTATTAGATTGTTTGATTTGATTGTATTGTAAGCTGTCTCTTTTGGATAGTGACTTTTGTTTTTTTTTACTTGCATGAAGTATGAATTTGTGCTGTAGTATGTTGTTGGTTACAAGCCCAGTATTTTATTTGTGGATGTGCAATTTTCATTCAAAACTTTGAGTGTTATCATTCATATGCAGGAAGATTTGTCTTGATTCTGTACCTCTCAACTGTGTCTCTTTTCTCGTCTGTGAGTTGGCTTTATTTGTCCTCTTTTACTCTGGATTTCTTTTCCCGAAAGCAGAGTTTCACTCTATATAATCTTATTGCCATTTATGTCTCTTCTTTTGCAGCAAAGCCAAGCCGCCTCCCCAAATCTCACCCAGTAAGTCCAGCGGTGGGGAGTTCTGCGTGGCTGCAGTCTTTGCCTCCTCTCGCTCTTGGTTTATCACCAACCCCAACTTGAAGAGAGAGAAAGGTTTGACATGGGCATTTTATCTTGGGCTTTATTTAAACATACTTTTTAAGCTTGAACTTAATTTAGTGGTGTATTTTTCTTTACATAATTTGTTGTTCTATTTTACAAGTTAATTTATCATATGCTTTGGTATGCTCTTTTTGCTTCTTTAATTGATACCAGATGGAACTTCAAAATCTGTTCTAAAAAATTCACACACAAAAAATGTTGAGGCCATGTTAGAAACCACTATCTTAATCTTTTTTAAAAACGTGTATTTGGCTTTTCTTCCCTTTTAGATCAGTCTCGACAGGCTGTTGTTGAATCGTTGTACATCCTGAGTTGCTACGGAAACCTTGTGGAGCATGTGCTGGAGCCTCGTCCAATCAGCACGGCTCAAAAGATAGGTGACGACACGCCTCTGGAGCTGAACACCTGTCCGAGAGCCTGTTGGAATCTAGCCAGGTCTTGCCCCGAGGCTCTCAGCACCACACCTATTTACCTGCTTTTACACTTCACCTTCAGTCCTACAGAAGCACCTGACACGACCTACTGCAGTCGTGTCATTTCCATAAAACAGCTTATATGGCTCCTTAATGAGGGCAAGCAAATGATTAATGTCACAGCTCGCCACGGACCCAGGCAACCGCTGAGCTCAGTCGTAATGCAATAATGGTTGTGACCGAGCGAATGAAATAGAAACAGGCAGGGGTTGCTCTCAGAATGGCTTTCTGATCTGATTGTACATGTTCAATGATTATATGTACTGAGCTGTATAGCTCGTGCAGCTCACATGAGATTTGAGAAATGGAAGTTCTGCAGGGCTGCGTCCAGTTTGAGTCCATTATAGCTCAGCTGGAGACTGTTATATACATCTGGCCCTTTGATATGCGCTTCCTAAATTGATTTCTGTGTTTGTTTTGAGTAGGACACCGCAGTGGAATGAGCTACAACCACCTTTCAACAGCAACCACCCCTTGGTGCTGGCCTCAGACTTCGTGCAGTACTATCAGTACCTCCTGGCTGGATGTAAGTATATGTGTGTATACTTGGGACCGTGACAGTTGTTTTTAGCCCTTATTGGTGCACCACAACACAAGAAGCATGCACGGTAAACTCAATCTCTTCTGCCTGCACGATTTTTGAAAGGTTGCTGAAGATAAGCCCGTTCCATTTGACATACGTAGCAGCTGGTGAAGCGCTTTTCTGTTTCCGGTGGTGTCGTGAATCAGGCCTTTTGTCACTCTGTCGTACATCCGTGCCCTGAAACTCATCGTAGAGCCAAATTAACCTGAAGGTTAGATTAAACCAATTAGTGTGGTTTTAAACCCATGTAATTTAATAACAAGTGCATAGAGAGTGTGAGCACTTTGGGTTGACATGAAAGGCAAGAGAATGCAACTCGAGGGCAGGAGGCTCACGGATGACCACACATCTAATATATCTTGAATAAGTGAGCATTGTTACGTTAGCTGGATAATCATAAACATTAATGAGTAATTAGCTGTCTGGGTCCTTCAGGCCAAGCTTCACATTTCTTCTCTGCCACTAAAGCCTAAGTGCTCAAGGCCTAACGGGTAGAATATTCTCCAGAAGTCGGTCTAATCGCCATGCATGTGTCAGAGTGATGAAATAGCCGGGCATGAGCGGTCGTGGCAGCGGCTCGGTGTGGATGCGGTTCACCAGGGGCAAAGAAAGGCATAATGAGCTTGCTCAGTGCATTATCGTTAATGTCTAATTAAAATAAGCCAGAGATCTTTGCCCCGTGCACTTCTGTTACAGCTGAACCTCCCCGACCTGACACTCAGGAGAGTGTATGTGCATATGTATTTGGCCACGATTACCCGTCGCCCCCGGCCCTCAGTGTGCTGGGCAGCCCACGACGTGTCACCTTTGATTGCTCTCTTCTATGTATCGCGCTACTTCCTACTCCCTGAACACGGTATTAAAGTGGACTTCACTGACAATAATATGTGACAAAATAACGCCAAAATTTTCCTCTTTATATGTTGTGAATTTTTTAGTCACAGCGTGTACAAATAACAATGTCACATGAGACACAGCCATCTTCTAACCATATACATACTGGCACTATATTCTCAAAAAGCGAAGCACTGCTACACATGGGTGGAGTGATTAGCGCAACACCTGAAAAGCACTGTTGTTACCTCCGTCAACAAAACCAACGTGACTGGCTAGTAGCGAACGTGACTGCGAGCAAATCACTCCACAGAAGTAGCTGTGTGTCGCCTTCTGAGAATATAGTTCCCAGTGTATACGTTTAGAAGATGGCTGTGTGTTAATTATTATATCTGGAAATAAATAGTAGTTGAATATAATAGCTCTGTTATTAGTGTACCAAATAAGAAAGGCTCTTTGTATAGTTTGCAACCTAATTTGAGAGATATTTTGTAATCCATAAGAAAAAACAAACTATCGGTAGGCTTATCGGCATTGGCCGATATCACTCTGATTAATCGGCTATCGGTATCGGCTGAGAAATTTCATATTGGTCCATATGAAGAGTTCAGATGCAAAAGCCTCTAAGTGCCATTTGAAATTTTCTTCTAAAATGATCATTTTTATCAAGCTTGTATATTTATGTTCAGTAATTTCACTTAAATGGCAATGAAGATTACCTATTAATTGTCATTTAAGTGAAATTACTGAACTTAAATATACGAGCTTGATAAAAATGGTCATTTAGGAAGAAAATTTAAAATGGCATTTAGAGGCTTTTGCATCTGAACTCTTCATATATATATATATATATATATATGTGTGTGTGTGTGTGTGTGTGTGTGTGTGTGTGTGTGTGTGTGTGTGTGTGTGTGTGTGTATGTTTAAATAAATACTTTTTTGCAATTCATTTTACTTTAACATAGCATCTAGTTTTACTTGACGAAATTGCCATTTTACTTCAAGTGCAAAATTATTCAGATAATCAAATATTTATATATTAATTAAGATGTATATCAGCATGACATTATTGACTATGATTGGATTATCTAAAACACTTTTTTTTATTTATTAATTTGGTAATATCCTGAAGAAAAAAAATCCCTTTTTTTATGATTATTACCTTTTATTTTATTATTACCTTTGGTTGTTCGCTGCATTGTGTCGGGCCATTAACAGCAACGACTTATGAATGCAATGTACGTGATTTTAGATTTTTCCAGTGTTCATTAATTTAAATAATTATCATAATGATGCACTTTTTTTTGTCTCATCTTTGTTAACGTTGACAAAAAGAAAAATCTTGAACAAACATTTCCTTCTCATTGGGGTCTTCTCAGTTAAGCAGTTGTACACAGGAAGTGATGCGCCTCCTTTTGGGATTAAGCACAAAGAAGCCTTAGCTGGGCGTTAATGTTATCAGCCTCTCGTTTTCTTTGTAATTACTCTGTAAAAGGCTACTCTGAAGAGAAGAGAATACAAAGAAAGAAAGCTGGAGATAGCAGAGGTGCATTGGTAGTGGACAGTTCCCAGGCTCAGTCGTCTCAGAAATGGGCGGGGTGCGTGCCTTTACCCACAAACTGTGAGGACTCGCAGCGAGCAGGGCTTTGTGATTGACAGCTCTGGTCTTGCTTCTAGATTGGATGACCTGGCTGATTAAAAATGCAGCATGTGGACGGTAGGGTCAGAGGAGCTGGAGCCTGCACGACTGGTGATAAAAGCAACCGTGGCGCCACTTCTTGGTCACTATCTCCACCTGTCCATCTGCCCAGCCTTTGGCAGCTCTCGGGAAGGGGAGCATTACCCAGCCACTGCTGATGATACCCAGATGATGGGTAGATAACAAGGACACGCTGGCCCAGGGAAGCTCCTTCGGTCCAACTCACAGCGCTCAGGGAATCCTCAGTTTGCGACATTAGCTGTCGTTGAGCAGAGAGAGAGAGGCGGCTGTGAGTCTGAGAGCTCTCTAATGAATGAGTCCTGATTTCTTAAGGAAAGGTGTGAGGGTTTTGTTCAGAGCTGCAGGAAAGTGCAGACCATGACCTTTTACAACATTTAGCACATTTATTTAACATTATCTTTCATTGTATTTTTGGAACACAAAATATACCCAAACTCCTGGCATTATTTATATAGATGTGTTTGGAGTATACTAAATAATTAAGCAAATCAATTTTTTTGGAAATGACAGTACTGACAGAAACATTAGACATTAGTCATTAGACAAACATGGAGAATTCTTTTGATTTAAACTTGTTTTAATGGACATACAAAATCAAAGGACCAAGCAATAAATCATGCATTACAGGAAATAATAATGCAATAAGTCAATTAATAAAATAAATACTACAAATTTAGTAGATATGTAAATATTTAGATTTTAAAATTCCTTATGTCACATATTGATTAATTTATGCAAATATGGAAATAAATAAATAAATATAGTTTTAAATAAACGTATTTGTTTTGGGAGAAAAATAATTAATAAACATGGATTCACTCAATATATATATATATATATTTTTTGATTTTGAGGAAATGTGGGGAAAATAACAACAGTAATAGAAAAAGCATTTAATACAAGCGGAGACCACACTTATGAATGAATTAATAAAAAATAAAATACACATGTAAATATCTAAATAATCAGTGTTGGGGAGTAACTAGTTACATGTAACGGCATTATGTAATTTAATTACAAAATAAATGTAACTGAGAGAAAAAAATGTAATTGAATTATAGTTACTTAGTTACATTACTTCTAAAGGGGTGGTAAAATGCCATTTTCACAAGATGTAAAATAAATCTCCGATGTGTGTGTGTGTGTGTGTGTGTGCGAAGTTTTAGCACAAAATACCCCACAGATATTTTTATATAGCATGTTAAAGTTGTCACTTTTTGAGGGTTTGAAAAAATGCACCGTTTTGTGCCCAGCCCTTTAAATGCAAATGAGCTGCTGCAGAGGACGGGGTTAAAAATTAGTATGATCTTTATTACTGTAGTTTTTTTTCTAGTATGGAGAAAATAACTACAGTAATGGCAACAAATCCTGGTCTGGCTTATGTTTCCAGGTGTCAATATACACAGTTATGCACCTGAACAAACAATATATAACTGAAAGGTCGTTTGTACATAGTTTGCGTGTTGGTGGCCAAAGCAAATTTGTAACCAGGCTTTGACTGTGATACTGCGGGTTTATGTGGTCAGGGCCTGTTTCCTGTCCTTATTCTGTTGCTCACACTCTAACTCACAACAGATAAACTGCTCTTAACAGTCCAGGAGCCCTCGACCTCTTAAGCCCGGCCATTATGAACCCACTGTAACCTGATCTACAGAGCCAGCTACTGTTCTTACGCTTCAATTATTTATTAGTCAACACTTATTGTCCCCCTGGGCTTTGGGAGGGGGGGAAGGAGGAGGACCAGAGCTTGATTGTGTTTAAGAGGTAACATGGCCTGGCTCTGTTCTGACCCATCAGAGGTCGGTAAGTCACTCTACGATTTATGTCGGCATAATGCAGCGTGCTGGGATAGCGGAGGCCGCGCTTTGGCAGCGGCTAGTGTTACTGTGATTGAGTGGGGCCGATAGCGAGTAGATTTCCTCTTCGAGTGGAGGTGTCAGTGTATCTGTTACTCACACAGTAGTGACTGTGCCATGAACCTGGCGGGATCACCTCATCAAGTGTGTCTGAACACCTGGTGTGTGAGCACTTATGTTTGCGAGACAGATAGAGAGAAGAAGAGGGAACAAGAGCGACGGGCTCCTTGTGTCCTCCAGATGAGGACTTGACATCTTTATTATTCACTGCTGTATTATGTACATTGGTAACAAAGGCATGTGTTTGCCTGGAGGTGGGAAGGGAAACCACTGATTGTGCACATTAGTCTGAATACTTGGCGCCTGCTTAGCGAAGCCTCCAAGTGCTCCATCTGTCTCTGTCCTAGCTGTCTTTGCTGCTGAAAGCACTGCACTCTTTTATCTGTCTTACTTTCTCACATACCAGAACACACTGTGGACATTTTGACTGGCTTTCTACAGCACAGATATGTTAATTGCTAATTAGGTGTTTTATGGGTGCTTTTATGCAAAGTGATTTACAGTTCAGAAACAGTTCTCATGGAACGACCTGAAGATTGCAAGGTTATAATAATATAATATAATATAATATAATATAATATAATATAATATAATATAATATAATATAATATAATATAATATAATATAATATAATATAACATAATATAATATAATGGTTATTTTATGCAAGTGCCTTTTTGTGCAATTCTTACAGAAACAGTCATAATGGAACAACATGGACATTTTATTATTAATATTTTATTTTTGCACGTGTCTTACAGTGCAATTCTTACAGAAACAGTCATAATGTAATTACAGTTTTTATGTATTTATATATTTATTGGCAAGGGGATAATATAATATAATCATTTTCGTACATGACTAATCTTTACTTGTTTCTCTCTGTGTGCAGTGGCACCTCCTGGCAGCCCCGGCCCCATCACCCGGCATGAGTCTTATGACAGCCTGTCTTCCGATCACAGTGGCCAGGAGGATGAAGAATGGCTCTCACAGGTCAGTCAGAACTCCGGCCTTCTCCTATGACCTTCCATCTCTACATTAGCTTAACTTTAACCGCAATAAACAGCACTTAAACTACACACATCATACATTTCAGTGAAACACTTACAGTGATAATGCATCACTGAGTTGCTGCCAGTAGAAGGCATAAATAATTTCTTGCGCCATTACCAGGTACGTACACCTAACATGGATCTGATCAAATTTGTTATCCTTTATTTCCACCTGTCATCCTGACTAAAGCATAGCACTGTTCTGCAGGATTGTCTGATTTATTAGACAAGAAAACAAACTTTTTATTTATTTACTGTGTTGTTTTAGTATTATTTATACAGCATTGTTTATTAGCCATTTGCTTTTTAATTTTATGTTAAGTTTTAATAACAACAGCACTAGAGTTGCCTTCTAAAATCATGTAGAATATTAAACAATCCTTATTTATTTTCCATCATTAAATTCTTCATTTTAAATTGTTCAAAATCTTTCAAATTAGGTTCTTATTCCCAGATTTACAATCCGGTCTCAAACTTTTGAACCCCACTGAAAGTTTTATGATCTAATATTCTTGATTACCCAGATGCAACATGTCCAGCATGTGTGTGGCAGTTTTTGTGTGGCCTGAACGGCCCCAGCCAAAGCTTTTAAACCTTAAGGTTGTTAATGTACCAGCATTAGCGAAAGCAGACCCATCACATCCCCCATCACATCCCGCCTGCCTAATGACACCATTAACACGTGCGGCGACAGCTATTGGCTAAACACAGTCTAAACCCTGTTGATGGCTCTATTTATCTGCTTTATATGTGATTGCAATTAGTCTGCTTGTCTGTTATGTGTTATGGCAACATAGCATAAAAAGCACAGTCCTCTGTGAGCGCTATGGCAGCAGGCTGTGTGTAATAAGTGCTGTCAGTGTGAGGCGGCTGCAATATGGCGGGCTCAAGGCGAAGTGCAGAGAGAGTGCGGAGGGGGGCAACATCTGGCCATAGCCTCCTTGAAAGCATCTGTTTCTCTCAGGCCTGTGCAACACTGTTGGTGTTAACTACAGTGAAAAAAAAAACACACATACCGCTAGCCTCATTTACACAGATGTGACAGGAAGAGGACGGAAGAGCTGACCCCACGCTCCTTCAGAAAAGATGGAGAAATGAAGTGGAGAGAGGGACGCTGGCCGGATGGACGCTCTTCTCCTCCGCCCTTCCCTCTCTCTCTCTCGCTTCATGATGTTAGTGTCATGCCATGTTAATGCAGTCCACTGGGGAGGAAGAGTGGCGTCTGTCTAACACGCATGTAACCCCCCCCCCCAATTCCCCTGATTTGACATTGCTGGTCGAAAGCAGACACTTACCCACACATTCCTTTGAGTGTGTGCTTGTTTGTCTATATTGGAACTGTTGGTGTCACACAATCCCCAGTTTAATGCCATGTCAATTTGTTAGTGACTGAAGTTTTATAAATTGAATGTGGACTGATAAATGTAAAATATTTTATATTATTAAAGTTTTAGTTATTAAAAAAATGTCAGTAAAGTTTCCTCTTTGTGATTTCATAGACAACAAAGCCATACATCAGAAATAAGTTCATTTTATATCATTTAAGCTGATCATATTTAAATAGTCGTAAAAAAATGTAAGAGTGCAGATATGTCTTTTAATAAATGCTTTTCTTTATATACCCCTACATATACAATTTATATATATAAGGTATATTCTTATTTATTTATTTACACGATTTCCGATTTCCTGATTTTTTTAAATGTTCTTAATATACATTTTTCTAATCTTGTTTTTATTATCTAAAAAAATCTGGGTGCAGAGTGAGATTGACTCAAATATTGAGCACTAGAAAAAAAAAAAAAAACTTTCTCAAGTTAAATGTGTTGCAAATCCGGTACTCCACTATATCACTATGTGTGTTATAATTTACAGGTGGAGATTGTTACCCACACTGGCCCTCACCGAAGACTCTGGATGGGACCTCAGTTTCAGTTCAAGACCATCCATCCTTCAGGTCAGACCACGGTCATCTCCTCCAGCTCCTCTGTTCTTCAGTCACAGGGGCCCAGCGACACCCAGCAGCCTCTTCTTGATTTCGACACAGACGACCTGGACCTACACAGCCTTAGGTGCCGATGCTTTAACACACATTCACACACAACACTGCTCACATTACCACCTGCCATCATCAACACCAAATTCACAGTGTGACAGCATAGACTCATGTTACTAACCACAGAAATTCACTAAATACACATATTGACCAACTCTAGACCAGCACTTGCACAAACACTCTACCAGAGCATCTCTATCTGTCTATCTCTCTGCCAGTTTGCCTGCTTGTCTAATACTGTCCGTCCGTCCGTCTTTCTGTCTGTTCTATTTTGTCTGTCTTTCATTCTATTTTTTTTTTCTAGTCATAATTTGGTTGCTTTTCTCAGCAAATACTAAAAAATGTTAAATTATAATTGGAAAAAAAAGATTGATTATTTAGCATACTGTATGTAATTAATTAGATTCAGGTTAAGCATAATTAACTAGTGTACTGCATACAAGTCTAATTCACAATTTTTGAATATCTCTTATTCCTGGGATGCAGGATCCAGCCTGTGCGTTCAGAGCCTGTTAGCATGCCTGGGTCTTCTCGCCTGGTGGCTGACCGTAGAGGCCAGTCCACAGTCATAGATACCGGCTCAGGTAAGACCACTGGCTTCTCTTATGTTTTTTTTCCACAAGTTCTGAAGCTCTTGGATTATAAACAGCTTCCACAGGAATTGTCTCTTAAGCCAAGTTCACACTACAGGATTTTAAGCCTGATTTAAGCCCGATTTGCAAATCGTTGAGCTCGCCGACAGGTCAAGGTGTTATCGTGTACAAATCGCGGGGGATTAGCGGGCAATGAACGCTTCCCAATCTGTTAGTATGAAAGAGCCAACAATGCAGCGAAGACGCTTGCAGACGCCTCGCAGATGCGTCACCGAGCCCAGAAAAATATCTAGCATGCTAGATATCCAGAGCCGTCGCACGACTCAACCTCAGTGATGTCATGAGTACAGCCAATCATAGCAACGCATGGCTTGAGGTCACCGGGTAAATGTTAGTTTTTCTTTTTTGCATTTTTTTACTCAGAGCAAATCACCGCGCAAACGGTGTGCAGCGCTAGTTTCTGTCTGACGTCCATATTCACGTGTTGTGTTCTCTTCTCCACAGGGTATTGGCACATGTGCTGTTTCGCGTCATTTCTGGTTGGTTTTATTGCATGGTTTTTTATGACAAAACGTGGTTTGTAGACAAGATAGAATCGCTGGGTGACAGAGTTGTCAACTCGTTATTTATTTGATTATTTTCATGATTTAGACCCTACCATAGTACTTGAAACAGCTCTCATTAGAGTCACAAATGATTTGCTCTTATCATCCGATCGTGGTTGTATCTCTATGTAGTGCGTTGTCAACTCGTGTAGTGAGTTACCTCCTGTTGTGGATCAATCACGTTGTGTTGTGTGGTGTGAACAGCTAAACAACTTGAACACTCTTGATTTCACAGAGAGCAAGTCATGTAGTGTGAACCGCACAGTTCAGCCCGACGTTTTAAAATCATGTAGTGTGAACAAGGCCTTACTCTGCCTTATACTGAAACAGTTGCAACCTGCCTAAAAAGTACAGTATCAGCAGTCTACATTTGGTAAATATGCTTATTGTGACCTTTGAGTTAGATTAAATGGATGTTGTTTAAAGGGATTTTGATTTCTCTTTTTTTATTCCTCCAGTTGTCATGTTAAGATAATCCAATCAACAGATATCTAGATAGGCTTGTACTTCTAAAAGATTTTTTTTTTTTTTTTTCAATTTGAGCTTCTGTAAATGTAGCTCTACAGTCTAAACAAAACAAGAGAGAAAATCAACTGCAGAGAATCAAAGAACAATGCACTGTTTGCTCTTTTTCAGTCGCAGAGTGATATTTTGCTGTGTATGCTCGCACGTATATATGCGGACGACACAGTCTTTCATGTTTCATTGAAATCAAAACCAAAGCTCCAAAATGTGGTTTGTCAGTAGAAGGTAGGCTGTGTTGACTGTTGTGATGTTTAGTGCTGGGCCTGTAGACACACATTAGCTGCATCGCACTGTCAGGCGTTCTCATCTTTAAGATTGCACTCTCTGTGGTGTCTTCAAAAGTACCTGCTGCTCCTTTGCATCTAGTGACTTCCTGTCAAGAAAACTGTCTCGTCATCATCTCACGTCGCCCCTCCTCTAAACCCTCACCTCCAAAAGAAAGAAAGTAACCGTCTTTATCACACAGCTCTCCTCCCTCTCATTCTCTCTTCTCCGGCCCGTCTGGAGGAGAGCTGCCGGAGTCTTCTTTATGGGCTGATGCTTATCAGTCTGTGTGTGATTGCTCAGCTCTCAGGGCTTCAAGCAGTGTGGCGCCTGCTCTTATCAGCGCTCATCGCTTTGTCTTTGTGCCTTCAAAAGACAGCGCAGCCCTGTTTGTTCCACTCCTCTGCCGCGATGTATCTCTCTAGTCCAGGCTGTCCTGGAGGATCTAATGCTGTCCTGCAGGACAGTGTCTCGATCTTGTTTACTGTTTAGGCCCATTTTAAACTGTCTCGACCATTTGCCCAGTTTCATGTCTGCTCACTCTGTTAAGGCAACTTAATTACCCAAAGGTCAGTGTAAAATTTAGCATTAACGTTTATGCCTAAAGGGTGTTTTTTTGTTGATCTTTAGAAGTTGCCTAATATGTAGAATAAAATAAGATAAAAATAAAATGCATTCATTAAAATGTTAATAAAATAGTATATATTTCATACATTTTGTTATTATAAATAAAGTATTTCTAGAACTTCGTGTTGACAGATATGTGGAATAAAATATCTGTATTTTTTACAATAATATAGTGTACATTTTATAAAATAAAAGGTTTGAGAAAATAAAAACATTTGATTTAATGATACTTTATTTTGGCCAAATTCTTAGGCAGCGTCACACGTATCCTTTGTGGAGAAGGCAATCCCATAATGCTTTTGGACAAGCTTGGTTAAAATCAGCAAACTGAAACAACAAAACTACAATTCAATTATTTTGCCCAAAAATGTTTGGATGTGCTATGTTTTTTTTGTGTGGATGCTTTAAAACGTTACATGACTGTATGTAGGCAGCTCACAAACCTGTGGTCCTTACATTGTGAAAGTAGGTGTTTCAGAAAGATCACATGAAGATACCATAGCTTCCCTGCCTGCTACAGTATATATTAATGCTTGTTATGTGATGTCCTTTGTTATATACCACCCCTAAGGGAGCCGGCTCCATGTGGCCATTTCTGCCGGATGTGTGTGCTGACACTAAACCCATCATAAGCAGCGCCTGTCTGCTTGACACAGCGTATCAGGAGAAAGAAAAAAATCACACAGCCACTGTCTCAGCTTCCCAAAATCAATCGGACATGCAGCCGGCATTATCGATACTCCTATCTGGTCCCAGGAGCGTCACTCTGGCCCTGCTAGACTACACAGCGTATTGTGCGAGAAAAGACAGGAGACGTTTTATCTATTTGAACCATAAAGCGAGCAGGAATACAAATCTCTTTTGATTGTATTTTGTTATGACTCAGTAGCAGAAACACCCCAGCATTTGTTCGGCGAGAGCACTTTTCCTTCCTGGCCCAGTTGTTATGTGTGTGGCTTGGCGGGGTGGCAGGGGCCTGTCGGAGATCGGGAGATGAGCGGGCGACAGTGCACGAAAGATGATGGCGTGTTGTGAGTTTGCTATCGCGTCTTGGAAGAAGCCTGACTGATAACTGCAAGTGTGTCTTGCATTGTGTTGGGGCCGATGACGAGTGTTTTTTTTTGTATTCATCTGAGTGTATATTGTTTTTACGTTGGGGTATGGATTTAAAGTGCCAAATAACTGGATTTACTCACTAGTTGATCAGTAACGTCATTAGGAACTGTAATGTAACTACATGGTTTTAATTGAAAACAAGTCTTACAAAAAACCTACTAATGAAAACAGCTCTCGAGAGTTGAACATCTCTGTACTTTTACCTCAGCGTAAAATTGACCAGTATGTGTGTATTTTAGGTGCCTAAAAAGGACGTTATTTTGTCCCGGACACACAAAATAAAGTAAAATAAAAAATATATGACATAAAACTTAATTAAATTAATAATGTAAGCAATATGATACATTGAACACCGAAGTAAATGATCTTATTTTTCTTCAAAACCGAGAAGAGAAGAGAAAATTCAATACATTAATTAAATGAATTATAATTATAATTATGTATGTAAATATGACTTTTTAGTGAGGTTTTATTGAGGTTTTATTGATGGTTGAAATAGAGAATGGATGAAGGAATTAATTGATAGTTGTATTTGAGTGACTAATTATAACATTTTATATTGTATATTTTGTATTGTAATTCACCTGCTCGGGGACTGCTGATGGAAACTAGCTTAAGCTAAATCTTGTGCAAAGCACCTTTAATTAATGTTTTTTGCACATTGTCCCTGTTGAAATAAATAAATGAATGAATGAAAATGAAATGAAATGAATTAATTAATGAATACATTAGTTAAATGGGCATCACATTTCAGTGAATGGTATTTTTAATGGTACCAAATGTTTACTTTTCTACTCTACATTTGTTGCCTACATTAGTGCGGTCATGGCAGTGGTCAGTGCTGTTGGCTGTTATCACATTGTGACTGTAAAACTGCTCTCACCGATACTTATCGTCATCAGAGTGTGTGCCCTGTGTTTTATCTACCGCCCTTACACAGCCCTTAACTCAGGTGCAGGGTGTGTGTGTGTGTGAGTGTTTGTGTGTGGCAAGACAAAGCCATCTCTGTGCTTTAGTGTGGTATAGTATGTTCCTCTGTGCTGGTCATGCCTTCAGGCCAGTGGGACAGGCCTGATCGCTCCCCTGGTTTCCTCTCCCAGCATGGCTGAGCGCTCAGAGATTGGGCACCTGGACTCTACCTGCGTCCAGCAGTAATGGATCCTCACCCGTGGTCTGTAATTACCTGGATGGGCATAAAGGTGGCTTGTTGTCGGAGATACTGCTCACATTCAAGCCAGAAGGATCCTGACGCGGCTCAAGGAGGAGCTCGTGCCACATGATCTCCCCGAACAATGAGAGGTGTTTTTGAGCCGCCTATAGATTGGGGAGCCATTCCCGTGACCCAGCGCTCTCCCTGCCGCCCTAGCCTGTCTCTTTCAATAGCGACTCGCCACCTGCCCCAGGCCCCCTCTCCGCCACACTCACTGACTCCATTCTTCTGCCCCTGACCTGGAAGTCCCCGCCACAATACAGAAGCTGCGCGGACGCCTGGCCAGATTGGCTGATCTGACTGTGAAGGATGCCATTCTTATCATCAACCTACTGTCTGAGAATCAGAGGCCCAACGGCCTTATCTCACACTGCCATCTCTTCTCTTCCTATTTTTCTCCTTCTTTCCCTTTCTGTTTTCCCTCTTTTTTTCCCCCTCGATTACTTTATTGGCTAGACTGTATTGCCACAGCATCAGTACAAAACAACAGCGAAACAATTGGCAGAAAAAGCAAGGTGCAAGTATTAAATATTTGTATTTTGTTTTATAAACATCTTAATAAAAAATAATCTATAAAACGGTTAGTTCCAATCCTTGATTCTGATTGGTCAATAGAACACGGCAATGACCGCTTCACCCAACGG